TTTACGTTAGTAATTAGTTTTGTGCATAGTTTTATATTATTGCTAATAATAAATTAAAGCAACAAAATAAACCGAAGAGCCGGGTCTCTAACAAGAGACGGAAATCCCATGACTAATGCTCGCACATCAACATGGGCGGGTGTCTCCCTCAGGTGCACCAGTGGAACTATCATGCAGTACAATATTTCCTGACAATTCTCATGACCTAATGGCGTGTAAGATATTCAGAGTGCAAAACAAAACACAAAAAGGCAGTAAAAAAGTAACAAAAACAAAGATGGCAGAACAACGCTCTTAAAGAGAAGTGTGTGGCTCTTAAAAGAGCCGTTTGATGGATTAGGGCGACTGAGTTTAACCGCCAAAGCCGTACAGAGTGCGGCCCTGCCTCTTCAGAGCATACACCACATCCATGGCGGTCACAGTCTTCCTCTTAGCGTGCTCCGTGTAGGTAACAGCATCACGGATGACGTTCTCCAAAAACACCTTCAGCACTCCGCGGGTCTCCTCGTAGATCAAACCGGAGATACGCTTCACTCCGCCACGACGAGCCAGACGACGGATCGCGGGTTTGGTGATACCCTGGATGTTATCGCGGAGCACCTTACGGTGACGCTTGGCGCCTCCTTTCCCGAGTCCTTTGCCACCTTTGCCTCTTCCACTCATGGTTATGATTTCTTCTCTGAACGAGCAAAATCGAATGAAGTTAAACTCCACGGAGCCGTGTTATTATGTGTGCTCGGCGGACGTAAGAGAAAACAGACGGTGTGATGGCGACTCGAAGCTCAGTGGCTCCGCCCACTCTTCTATTTTCTAAATGTGGAAACGTGGTCTTTTGTTAAATGACAAATTAAGTCTAACCGAAGGGAGACTCACACCAAATCACACACAATATCTGAGTGGAGTTGACATTTTTATTTCAAACTAAACCCAAGTGTCCGTATTTGTAACAAAAACCACACACCCTCTTAACGTTTCACCCAGAGTCTAGCATAAGTGTTGAACTACATTAAAACGATTAACACATGTATAGATCTCTCTCACACACACACACACACACACACACGGAGGATGTTACTGTAGTTTGAAATGTGAAACTGAAACGAATCGCGTTTATTTATTGTATTTGTAATCCTGTCCAGATTTTACGATCAGAATTGTGATTTGAAGCCAAACATTTGCCTCACCAGGATGAGCTCAATAAGCTCTTGTTCACATGTCATTTCTGAGAAACCCACAAGTGTATTTATTCGGTGCTTTTCGCAGACAAGGGACCACAAAACATGACCCCCCCCCCGAGAAAAACAAATAGTAATAATGCTAAATGATATAGTGATAGCGTTAGGACTGCTCTGGTCAGGTTGTCCATCATTAAGTCCTTGAACTTTTTTTTTTTATAATTCAAAGCATACAACAGTAACAAGCTGTAGTTTATTTTTCACCATCATGACAGCTACAAATTAAATAATGTCAGGACATGTAAGCTTTAGAAGAGATGTGTGGCTCTGAAAAGAGCCGTTGTTCGGGATTAAGTAAAGATGCAGTTTACTTGGAGCTCGTGTACTTGGTGACGGCCTTTGTGCCCTCAGAAACTGCGTGCTTGGCCAGCTCACCGGGGAGAAGCAGGCGAACTGCGGTCTGGATCTCCCTGGAGGTGATGGTGGAGCGCTTGTTGTAGTGGGCCAGGCGGGAGGCTTCAGCGGCGATACGCTCGAAGATGTCATTGACGAACGAATTCATGATGCTCATGGCCTTAGACGAGATGCCGGTGTCGGGGTGGACCTGCTTCAGAACCTTGTACACGTAGATGGCGTAGCTCTCCTTCCTGGTCTTTCTCTTCTTCTTGCCGCCCTTGCCGGCGGTCTTGGTCACGGCTTTCTTGGAGCCCTTTTTGGGCGCTGACTTGGCGGGTTCAGGCATTTTCTTACTTCACTTCCTCACAGCGGAGAATGTGCTCGTTAGCTGAAAGTGGCTCTTTTATTTCCGCTGTATGCAAATAAGGCTGTGCTGTTCCTCGCCTGTCATTGGCCGAGCTGTTGCTCAGGTTTACACAAAGGCACACAGTCAACAGTGAAAAAAAGCACTTGAAATCTTCCACGAATCTCATTATTTACATATGAATTAGAGAACATCACCTTAGTTTTGACTATTTTATGGCATTTTACGGATGCAATGTTTCCCCGCATAACGTCAAAGTTACAGGATATATTGTCCTGAAATTCTCAGGGCTTAAAACCCTTCAGGGTTCATTTTTACAAGTATCCTGTTTTATTGAGCTTTGTAAGAGGAAGTGAGTGTGTTAAAGGGCCTCTTATAATCCTAACTCTGATAAAACTCAGGGTGCTTTGTGATGAGATGCTGCTTTAGCTTTGCTGGCTTCATTTATTTATTTTTTTACTTCTTGAAGACACAAACACACTTTGGTCTGCCATTGTCATTCTCGATAAAGCCAAACTCAAATTAATAATTGTGATACTTTAGCTAGTTTGGCTTTTGCATTACTCGATGAAGTAGATGGACTTAAATATTTGTCCATTGCGCTAATTAACTCAACCCCGGATGATGCACATGTATCTAGGTGCCACCATAGGTTTTTTGCTTATACCCAATCTGTGGATTGGGAACACCAGTTTGAGAGCCTCTGCTACAATGAGAGAAAGATAACGCCAGACATTCATTACACGTTAAAAAAAACACAACGTCGCCTAGCCTTACAAAACAACCACTTTAGTGGACCAAAATTCAACATGCAAAAATGACTTATATAAGATGTCTCTCTGACATCACTTTGTGCAGTGAGTAAATAATACTCTCTACCTAATAATCAGAAACACATCTAACATAAGATAACCTTTATTAGTCCCACACATGGGAAATCTGCAGGAATATTCCCTCATACCCACCCCTATGTTTTCTTTTCTTTAATAAAGGAACAGCTATGAAGAAGTAACTATACAGTCAAATTCAGCTTTAAGCTTCGTTGCCAGTAAATTTAAAAACCAACAACTCCAGCTGCAGCTGCCCCTTCCGGGAACCTGGATCTACCAGAGGTTTCTGACTTTTAAAAAATGAGTTTTTCCTTTCCACTTTTGTCAAGGGCTTGAATCAAATCAAAGGAGAGCACACCTGTATACCCTATGCTGTACTCAGCATAAGGTATACATTTCAGATATCAGTCTGTCTTTTCCAGCAGGATTTTATGGATCAGACCCAGAATAGGAATTGTAGAAATTCAGTCCAGCTGCAGAGTGGACACTGTGCTAACTTGGAATGCTGCTCCTAGTAATGCATCAGAAGTCAGCTCCTATTAATAACTAAACCTATCACATGATTGCTGGTATGTATTCAGCAAACAATAATCTTCAGCAGGCTCTTGAATTGCTGCAATCAGAAGATTGCTTAGTGTGTCTTGACGACACGAAGGGTAAGAGAGAAAGTCGTCCTCTGAGATCAAAGCAGTGAACACTAGCCCTCTCACCTCAGCGATCAGAGACAGCTGTGGTTCTACCGAGAGGGTAGTCAACCAAGTGTGAAGTTACACATGAAGAGTAGAAGTTCATCTTCGAGTGAACAAATTTGCCAGTGACCTTCATGGTTGAATCACTGACATTCACTTGTTGTTCCCCCTGTACCTTATAAAAGTCATTAAGATTACATTACTTATTTAGTCATTTTGAGTACTTCTGTCAGTTATTATAGGATTTCCATAATCAAAGATAAAATCTTCCTCCGAGGCAAACTCTTCCAGATACCGTATTTTCACGCACCGTACTAAAATGCGCAGTCTCAGTTATGTGTGCCATTACTGTATTTAACACTCACACAGTTACTCATTAAGTTACAAGTACATCACTATAATTTTGACTTGGACAACACAAAAAAAAAAAACATGTTTTGAGTGATATGCATTTTTTGCAAATTTTTACTCTGTCCACCTTCGATTTTCACTTTTTCACTCTTCAATAAAAGATAGCCAACAATCTCCTAAGATAATGAATTAGATAATAACTTTTATTGTGTAAGATTATCAGTTATATTCAGTTTCTTTTTTCTTACCTCTTGCAACATGTTCCTGATGCGCTCAATCTTAATTTTTGCAGCACCTCCTTTTGAAGAGGCCAGTGACATTATCCTTGCGGAATACTGGTCCAGTTTTGCCATGAATGTTGTTTCCAAGTTAACAGTGCTGATCCTTTGGAATTCGTCATTTATCTTTAAAAAAAAGAAAAAAAAGAAAAAGAAACCACCACCAACAACAAAAAAAACCCCAAAATGTTTCTTGTTTTTTTTTTTAATTGAAGCCTTTTATTATGTTTAAAAGAAAAATCTAATTAAGAAAAGAAAATGTAAAAGTGTGAAAGGAAGTGACTCTTCTCTACTCCTGAAGAAAATTAGGACTTTTGAGGAATAAAAGTACTTCTTACATTAACCTATTTGTGGCTCTTTACCCTCAAAATGTGGAAATTTATCAAGAGGAAGAACAACTTATTCGGCCTGCAGGGGTTTTTAAATCATTTTAAATCATTCTCATCATCTTCTTCTTTCTCTTCCGCTCCTTTATGTCTACAATATGATATCTACATCACCCCACACTAAGTCACACCCTGTAGTTTCTCCCCCTGAGTAACCTTTTGCATACTTCATTTAGAGCTTACATGTCCTACATTTTACTTCAACATGATTTCTCATTAGGTCGGTCACACATGAATTGCTTTACAAGTCTTTTAACTCAGTTCCATACATATATGTTTTTAATCACAATATACTCAATATAACCCTGTGAGTCTACACAGATGATCAGATTAAACTTACATTATTATAATTAGTCATAGTCAATAATTACTTAATTATTATAGTATTAGTCATTATACTGTAAACTACAGGCAATAAAAAGTGAACCACAGGGGCCTTTTATATTCAGCAACAGCTGTGCTTTGTCACAGTCTGCAGAGCATGCTGTGTGGAGTGTTTGAGCATGATGCAGAGGCGAACTCCAGTAGAAAATGAGTTCTGCCCCCACATTCAGATGTTGTAGTCAGAATCTGACATAAACAACATGAAAAGATCCATCCTACCTTTTATCAGTGGTTCACGCTGCTGCTGATAATTGTGTGCAGGATATATTCTTGGCACACTGGGCTCCTTAGCACCAACTGAGCATCGTTTTAAATGGAATACTGCTTATTTCTCAGCAGCTTTTCAGCTTCCACATCTTCCCAGATCTCTTCATTCTAAAAAGGAGAAACGGCACTTTAGGGTCAACTCTAAAATGCTGTATGGACTACTGTACAAGAAGGGTTACAAAATGATAAGGCACAACTTTAGAAATAAAATGAGAAGACTGAAATTATGTGAAAATGACTGCAAGACTTCAGAAGAGGAACGTACAACTGTAAGTATCTCTCTCACAGGTAAGTGGGAACACAAGCTCAAGGCTTGGCTTGTACTTGGGTCGCACTAACTTAGTAGGACAACAATCCAGCAAGTACTCAAGAGCTGCCGCTCCCTTACGGAGAGGCCACAACGAGGGCATCAGGAAAAGGTGCGTGATTAATCCAGGCGTGTGAAGGCAGAAGATGGGAAACCTCACACTTTGAATCACCTTGTTGTTGAATTGTGCTATATAAATAAACTTGCCTTGCCTTGCCTTCACACAGTCCTGCTTCTGCACCAAAACCAGAACAGATAGACACACATGACAGAGAGGAGAGAGAGAAAGAGAATGGTGAGTTGAACGGCGAGGACAAGGTTTCTTAAAATCGGTGGACGGACAGAAAAGTAATCAATATATAACTCTTTCGGCAAATCGCAGATACTTATTTAAAAAATTTGATGATGTGAGAGAAACTACTCAGGTCTCAAAAGTTAAACAAATATGAAAATAGTCAACAGGATTATTTTAAGTTTAAATTAGAGTAACATCTGAAAACAACAGGATTATTTATAAGTGAGACTGTTAATTTTGTTTTTCTGGTGCAACTCATCATATTTGTTCAATCCAGTATAAAGCACGAGACTTTATGTATTTGTCCCAAATTAAAACTAAATGATCCCACTTTGCAGTAATACCACTTCCAGCTCATCGTGGAATATTATAATAATAATATATTTGTAATTATTATTTTATTAGATTAACACAAGACGACTAAACAGTTTCATGAATTCTTCCTGTCCTGCAAATAACGTTTCTCCTTTAAACCCCACAAAGCCTTCATTGTTGTTCCTCTGAGCTGCGTCACGTAACTTAATCTCGTACCTCCCACATGTCTACTTCCAAGGAAAGTTGTCCCTCCTTCCCTCAATTTCTCTTTCCTGGCATTTCTCTGCTGCTCTTTAGCTTCCTACATATCTTTGTCCTGAAAAGGAAAAACAGCACTTTAGGCTCAACTGCAGTTTTTAAATGTGCTGACTAGGGCTGGGCCATATCACACAGTTCATGGTAATACCGGTATAATGTCGGGCAACGATAAAAAAATGAAATATCGCAATAGAATATGAGTAAAACGCGCATGCGTACCTTTGTTTTCATACGCACATGGCGGAAAAAGCATGGTGGAGAATGAGGAGGGCGAAAGCGGATCGTTAAATGAAACGGATGAACCAGAATTGGTTTGTAAAAATGCTGCAACTTCAGTGGTGTGGAATTGGTTTAGCTTTCGTCCGTCAGATACACAACAAAGCACTATTTTTGGTAGAGCATGCTAGCGGGCCGTCGTTATTACCGTGTTTTTTGGAAAATACGGCACACTTAAAATCAATCCTTTGATTTTTCTGAAAATCGACAGTGCCCCTTATAATCCCGTGTGCCTTATGTATGAATTCTGGTTGTGTTTACTGACCTCGAAACGATTTTATGTACACGGCGCTCGAAAATCTGTCAAATGTTTTAGTACGACTTTGCTAAGCTACGAACCGCACCGCTTGATGGATTGTCAGAGCATTACGGATATCGTACT